CCGCCCCCCCCCTCCCCCCCCCTTTTTTTTTTTTTTTTTTTTTTTTGCTTGGAGCGGAGGCAAAAAAGTTAGACCCGGCCCTGCGCTCCCTGCCCCAGCTCACCTCTGCTCTGCCTCCGCCTCCCTGGGCCTGAGCGCGCCGCTGGTTGTTTCTCCGTGCTTCCAGGCTTCCTGCGTGAACAGCTGATTCGCAGGAAGCAGGGGCGGCGCGTTCAGGGGAGGAGGCGGAGGTGGAGAGGAGGTGATTGCGCCCCTCCCCTTTGTGCACCCGAGGCAAGTGCCTCACTCGCCTCACACTTGTTACGGCACTGCTCTAATATATCTCACTGTGTTAAGATTTGTTCCTCTGATATTCATCCTCAGTGCTCTCTTCCTTAATTTAATCAATTCATCTTCAATTCACTAGAAGTTTAAATACGGGTGATTTTTTCTTTTTGCTTGGTTTCATGTAAGGTTTTTGTTTTTGTTTTTCTTCCAATTTGGTAGCCTTATGTGAAACATTTTTTTTCCAGGTTTTCCTTAGGGGATGTTCGCAGGCCCCTTCATGAAACAGCAGTATTAGTGGAAGATATCATCCACATGCAGCTGATTAATTTGGTAAGAATATCTTTAGTCTTTTGATTACAATGTGTTCCTTGTGGGTACAACCCAATCTTTTCTGTAAGAATATTGAGAATGTTTTACCTCTCATTCTTCAGGCTATATGTTATCATGTAGTGACTATACTTAGAGAAAAGGAGGACTCCCTTTAGAATACCTAAACAACATTCCATCCAGGATAGTCTAGAGCAGGGGTAGGCAACCTATGGCCCGCGTGCTGAAGGCGGCACGCGAGCTGATTTTCAGTGGCACTCACACTGCCCGGGTCCTGGCCACCGGTCCAGGGGGCTCTGCGTTTTAATTTAATTTTAAATGAAGCTTCTTAAACATTTTATAAACCTTATTTACTTTACATACAATAATAGTTTAGTTATCTATTATAGACTTCTAGAAAGAGACCTTCTAAAAATGTTAAAATGTATTGCTGGCACGCAAAACCTTATATTAGAGTGAATAAATGAAGACTCGGCACACCACTTCTGAAAGGCTGCCGACCCCCGATCTAGCGAAATCACTGCTGAGAATCACAAAGGCACTACCTTTGCCCACATGTTCAGTGTTAAACTTCCAGATATGAAGGGTGTCAGATCCAAGTGAGAACCCCTTTCCACCCACCCAGTAGGACTGCTGTGAAGGCAATCCAAGCCTCTGTGCTCTGGATCCCCTGGGGAGTTTTAAGCTTCTGGAGCCTGAACAGCGTCTAACCACTGCCCCAATCTTGGGTCCCGCAGCACAGTCTCGGGGTGCAGACCTACTATCTGGCACCCCCTCCCAGTGTTGGAACCTGCTGTCCAGCCTCCTAGTCCCTCTAGGCACAGTGCACACCCCTTTCCCAGAACTCCACCCCAAGGTATGAAACTTTTGGTTTACAGTTTAATTTTTTCAGGTGCATGTAGTAGTTGTGATGCATATACACACATACATTTTGTACGTTGTTTAACACATTAATGCTCTTTTATCCTTAATCATGTAAAGCACAGGAGAGTACAGTTCATACAAAACAATAAACACTATATGTATGTCCTTGCCTCAGTTTCCTCACCACTCCAGGGCATTCTTTGGGCTGGGTCTGAGTCTGTTGGGTGGTCCAGAGTCCTTGAGACCATCTGGGCTCAGGAAAGTGTGTAGGGCCCCCCTACCTCATAAGACTGCTACTTGCTTGTTGACCTCTCCTTCTGGAGGCCCTTACCCATGTCTGTGAACTTGCTTTCTCCTGCCCCACTTCCTGTCGGGTTCTCCTGTTCCTGTGTGGCTTTGTTCTGTCTTCTGGGTAACTTTCCATTGTTCCTGCCTTTTCCCTTCCCTTCAGCTAAAGTGGATTTTCAAGGCTTGAGCTACTTTTTAGCATAATCTTTTGTCAGGTTTAAGTACCATCATTAACCTTTAGTTCCCATTGTATTTGTGTGAGGTGTATGGGCTAAGTGGCTTGTTAGCAGTGATGGATCCATGTAAATATAGGCATTAGGATACAACACTTTCTCATAATACAACTTTATAATATCAGTCTCATAAATTGCAGAGAGATAGCCCTAGTTCATCACACAGGGCATATGGTTTGTTTCTGGTTCTATGTAACTATATGTGTGTAATTCCAGACCCAGCTAAACTGGGGGTAAAACTGGTTGAAATTTTTCAAAGAACAAATTTTCTATTGAAAAATAGCCTTTTCCTTTTCAAAACTAAGAGATTTCTCAAACTATTGACATTTTCATTTTTGTGTGATGTTTTAAAACAATTATCAAAAACATTCTCAAAATGTTTGACATTTTTTATTAGTGAATACTTAATGAAAAATTTATAATATTTTCAGTTAAAAAAAAACAATCCTGACTTTATTAAAAATGGTGACCAAAAAGTTTTGTGTAAAACCAAAATGGGCCTGTTTTGAACCTTGTGAAATTCAAGCAACTTTGAAATTTTGATTTTTTTTTTTTGTTAATTAAAAATAAAATCAACCATGTCTACTGAGGACTTTATATTGAGAAATTATTGTCTCAAGCCAGGAAGAGAAGCTCTTGTTCCCTGTATTTTGACACTAGGTATTATTGCAACTCCATAAGACCATCCAAATGACAATTTTAAAATGTTATCTAGTTTACATTTTTACAAAACATTTAGATATATTATTCTACTATGTGTCCCCCAAAATTGTGTAAGCATAGCAGGACGTTTTTTAGACGTGTGAACATGCACCTGAACAATAGTGAACCTCACTATAAATTAATAATTTATGCTTTTTTATAGTTCATTTTAAAATACTTCAATATTGGAATTACAGGATTTGGTCTGAACCACATCATAAAGGATAAGATGAAATTTCCAATTTCAGTCTTATACCTATTAAGAAAAATCAGTTTGTCTTCTTGACCTAACAACCATGTACATAATCATAAGATTTTTTTTTTACAGTTGTCTCCTAAATCATACGTAATTATGGCCACAGCTTTACTCTTCCTTTAGTGGCAATGGAGTGAGGATTATTTATTTTATTGGACCATTAATGCTTAGCTGAACTTTAGAGTAAAATTTGTGTTTGACAAAAATTTAACCTGTGGCCTTGCAGTCTTTTCTTTTGAATAAATAAATAATGAATTCCTTTAGCTGGGTACTTAGTCCATGGCCATGACCCTAGGTTAACCCTAAATGGTGTCTAGGAGCATGTATGATTTCCTGTCAGGAGGAAGAATGGGAATAGACCAGCAGACAAACTGTTTTTCTAACCTCTCACCTTTTGGCCCAAGACAGCACTTTATTTCAAGGGAAGTGAAAGTAGCTTTAATAGCTCATTGTTTTGACCTTTGACACCTACAGGACGGAACTCTTAAATCATGACCTTTTATATATGCCAGGGTGGGCTTCTGGAAATGATTTTTGCACATTCGTTATCCTATAATATTTCACATTCTTACTGAGCTGTTATTAAATATTCATACTGTCTTTTCATTTTTTAGATAACTATACCTATATGAGAGTATTAAAAACACACACTAACTTTGTAATAAATTCTTGTTGTAAACTTGAGTTGATTGCACAGTGCCTATATTCCAATCATGTTGCTCAAAATACCGTGCTACATAAATCTCATTATGCAATTGATTATTTTCCTCCTGAAAACTGAGATATATTTTTGACATATTTGTCTACTATTTCATTTAAGAAGTTGTTTGTGTATGTGATGCAAGGTCAACATGTTGTTGTATATATCTTTCTTAGTAGGCATTTGTAGGAAGAGCGAATACTTGATTAAATCCAGATATGTGCTTCCAAAATAAGTTGCCATCTTGATTAGCACTGATGGGTTGACTTTTGATATCTCTGAAGTTTATAGTTCTGACTTCCTATTTTTAAAATTTATCTGAACCCTATTAAAGAAGGGGCTAGTTTGGACAGATTTATATGGTAGCTACTTTGAACCATTATATACTTCATGAAGTCTGGCTGCCCTGGGGAATGACAACACAAAACAAGACAAATCCTTGGAAAGCACGCTGCTTTGAGATTAATGCACGTGATTGCTACCAGAAAGAATCTCTTTGGTGTACTGAATAATGTACTACAAATAGAAATGGCAAGTTTTTCACCACTATTATATAATTCAAGCAGGTGCTAAGCTGTACTAGGCAGAAAAATATCAGATCAATATAATAGTACAGTACATGCAAACTGCATACATTACTATAATAATGCTAGGAAATTAACCATGCTAATAATGTTTAAATATATTTCTGTATTTTAATTATGATACAGTTTTGGATATTTGCACAACACTCAATAGAATGCAAAAACAATAAGCAAGGATAGAATGAAAATAGGCACATGGAACTTTGCCTAGGCATATTCTCAAAATATCAAAATAATTATATGAAACAAATATTTTAAAGTTCAAAATAATTAATTACATTTCCCCTCCCACAGAGCACAGTAGCAAAGTTTTTATTCCAAAGTCCAGTTCATCGGGGGTCTGGAGTACATTTCCAGAGACGAACCTTGCTGAATGAAAGTTTTTGTTCAAATATTTAAAAACTGATTTGTGTTTATTTATAAATGATTTAATAATAATTCTTAGATTTTATTTATTTATGTGTATTGCAGTAGCACTTAGATGCTCCATTCAAGGCTCTTTTGTACTGGGTGTTGTACGCACACGAATAGAAGCCATTGCGCCAAAGAACTTAAAATCTAAGCTAAAGGAAATTGGTTGCTCCTGGAAAGGTTATTGCACAGAGATAAAACAGATATTTTCAGTAGTAGCTACTGTACTCCTAAAAAGTAGATCAAATATCTTACAAAAGACAATAGAAAAGTTAATAATGAAGAAAGACTATTAATGATGATACTTTGCTAAGCTCGTCACAAACATTAAGTGATTAATTAATTTTCACAAGACTGCTGTAATGTTCTTATTCCTGCTTTATAGATAGGGAAAAGGTTTTAACTTTCCCACAGCCATGGAAGGCTTCCATCAGAGCAAACAGTAGAACTGGAGGGTTCCTGACTCTTTCTCCCATTTTCAGAACACTACATCACACCTTTTCTGTCTTGATGTGGTGTTATCCATGCGATGGCTACTGGCTACAATGCAGTTATGTGACTGTATAAATGGCAACATAATTCCCTCTTTTTGCTTTTCAGTAGATGCACAGAGGTGCTCCAGGGTATAAGCCTTTGTATACAAAAGTCTCTGGCCCTTATAGTTGCAAAAATAATTTTAATAATTTGAACCATGTTTAAACTGACACAATTCTGTCTGCTTGACTCTGCAGATAGCCTGAAACAATAGCTCTGAAGAAAGTGTGAACTGACTTATTCATTTCACTGGGATGTTGAATCCAAAATGTAATGATACATTGGCCCCATTCTTGAAAGTTACTCCATGTGGGTGAACCCCAGAGTCAGCATGGAGCAACTTGCAGGATCAGGAATTCAGCCATTAGCACTGATGCTATTTCACCTCTGATAATTTTAGCAGAAACATGAAGATATTGTGCATATTCACT